CACTCTCACGGGACGCGGGGATAGCCCCCCCTTCCCCCCCCCCCTTTGCTACTGCCCTTGGCGAGGAAGCCGCAGCGGTGCGCGGGTGCAGGGCGCGCAGGGCTACGGCGGGGCGGGTATAGGGCCCGCGGGGGGCTCTCCCTCCGGCTGGCCACCGCGGGCCGGTTTAACGATGGTTGAGGCCTCCGCCACACCCGCCCGCCCCTCCTCCTCCTCCTCCGCTGGGGTTCGCTGGTGACCAGATAAAGATAGACGGCACACGGTGGCGCGGAGGAGGAGGTGTGTTCCGCGGGGGGTTGGGGGCGCCGCGCTGCTCCCCTCGACAGCCAGCCAACACTGTCGCCTTCCACTCCGCGGGGAGGGGCGATAGGGCGAGGCACCCCGCCCTCTAACCGCGCGGTGTTCTGCTCAGTCTGGCCCGAGACCCAGTGGTCCGTCCTCCCCGCGGTCCCCGCGGCCCGCGCCGTGCAGAGGAGGGAAGACCTGGCCCGACCTGGCTGTCCCGACCTGGCCCGCTCGTCCGGGAGCAGGAGCGCGATAAGGCGGGGCGGTCGCTGTGGTGATACCCGCCCTTGTCGCCGGCCAGCTTGACGACGTGCTCTGCGACGTGACGGACGGTGCGGGGGGCGATGACCGCACTCCACCGCCACCATGGCGCAAGGAGAAGAAAGGTACACACAGCACCGCACTGGTTCAACCAAGAAATAGACCCTTTCGGAATAAGCGAAGTGAAGAACAAGGTGAAGAACAACAGGCAGGAAACAGTTGCTTTTACTAAACCAAACGTTTATGAAAACTCACATAAAATGTAAACATTATCAAAATGATAGGACCTACAATTTAGTCACGTGTTTTGGGTACGTTTTGGTGATTAAAAGCTATTGTTTCCGGTCTATTGTTCTTCACCTTTTTCTTCACTTTGACAATTCTGAAAGGGTCTATTGCGTTGGCATTCCCTGTTGTGTCCAGAAGAGGCGGAGGGGGGGGGAGAGAAAAAATTCAATCGTTGGTTGGTTCGCTAAAGACTGTATGTACCTCGTGGAGAACCCCTGGAGGGATTGCTTGTAAAAAAGAGGTTCTGTTTCTCTTTCTTTCAAGTCGAGTGGACGATACAGTGGCACAGCCCCCTCCCCTAAACAGCAGTCAGGCTCTCTCCAGTCTGTGCCTCCTGAGCGAACGCAGCGATTTGCGTCCTACGGTTACGCTCCCAGTTAAACAACGTTTCGTGACGTATTCCGTATGATTTCATCTAGAGTTTATTGTTTTCGAACTTCCGAGATGCCGAGTCGAGCCGAGTGGACCTTAAATATATCCAGCAGAGAGAGGATACATCCAATTAACAATATGCAACAGGTTTTCAAAACCGGCATGATGTCCTGTTTCAAAGGTTAGTTTGAAGATCTCGTAATTATTCTCTTTACCTGCGTCGCCAGTATCTCAATTGTCATCACATATCATATGTATTTATTTTATTATTTTAACTAAGTGATCGTGGCTGCACGTTCAAGCTAGGCCGTCTGGAACTTTAAAATCACCCTAACCTCACTTCATAGTAAATTTCGTTTGCCATTGCTGTTAAGACTGGCATCTAGTGTAAGTGTTGATTCAGAGTCCACAAAATTCAAGCTTGATTTCAATGCATCGTTCCAGGTTCAAGTTTTCATTACGCGAGCGCGATTTTGTGTGTAAAATCAAGAATACTACAGTAATTTGTCATTTTGCACCATGCTCAATCTCTTTACAAATTATTTTGTTTACTGATGATTTTTCCCAAGTTTATGACAAGTTATTTGTTAACTTTGATAATTTTCAGTGGCTATCTTTTGCAGACTATATGTGTATCTGATTTACAATTATATCAATTTCATAACACAGGGGCAGTATATCCTAAATTTCAATCAGTTCCTGACAAACTAAAGTCTTTTCAATTATTTTACGAATAGTAATGGTTTCACAGACTTTGCGAACAGTCTGTTGAGAATTACTGTTGTCGCAGGGACATCTTTCAGTAGGTGTGCGGTCGCGTTATAGGCGTAATAACGCGTGTATTGAACTACTCAATGGTGGGTAATTGTCGATCTCGTTTCGACGGTGACGGTCGTCGGCAATTTCGCAGAGGGCGCCCTCTCCTCCTCCTGTCCTCCTACGTTCCAACGATTTGACGCGCGCCGTTCTGTGTTGGTGTGCTTCCAGGACACCGTGGCCGTGGCCGTCGCGGTCGTGGCCGTCACCGGGGACCACCCTGCGGAGCTTGGCGCGGCGCCCGCTGGAGCGCGCCCGCGGCCTCATCACCAGCGCCGCGGACATGGGCAACGGTAAGTAAAATCCGAAATTTTCCCAGAAAAAAATTGAAACTTTTCCAGAGAAAAATATGGAAACTTTTCCAGAGAAAAATGATAACTTTTCCAGAGAAATAGAGGATTTTTTTTCCAGAAAAAAGTTAAAATCGTTTCGAAAAAATGTGTTAAAAGTAAAACTTCTCCGAAAAAAAATCAGACATGCCAAAGAAAATTCTTGAAAAATTCCCCTTCGAAACTCTTGTGAGAAATTTGTAATGCCCAGAGAGGTGGAGTGAGTCGGGCCGGCAGTGCGGCGCCGGCAGCGTAGGCAGCCCATCGCGCTCCTCGGAGCCTCGCGGCCGAGCAGAGACAAACGCAACGCCGCCGCCGCGCCGGCCGGCAAACTCGCGGGGCTCGAGAGCGCACCGTATCGCGGGCGGAGAAATGTTTCCGAACGTGCTAGAAATAACAACGCGCGCTGCCGCAACGACTTGCTTTCCATACCAGTCAGCCGCTTGTCTCGCAAGCACATCGCGCCTCCGCCGCTTGGCGAATAAGACATTTATTCCTCTCCGCCCGGCCCCCAAGTGTGTCTGTGTGTGTGTGTGTGTTTGTTTAAGATCTATCCTGCGCTGGCCTTTCTCGCGCACACCTACCCACACACCGACACACACACAGACACACACAGACACACACACAGACGTACGCATTCACGCCGAGTGTTAACAGCTTATTTCGATGGTATCTCGCGAGCCGCGGGCGGCGTTCAGTTCAGGTCGGCCGCCCCGCCGTATCCTCATGATGCTATCCTTGCGGCCCCGGCCCCGGCATCCTCCGGTCCGACCCGATGGTGCAGCTGCGGTGCAGAGCTCCGGGGCGTTGTGCAGCTGCCGCAGCGTGCAGGGGCGGATCCAGTGCCGCGTATTCACTAGTAGAGCCCTTCCAAG